CTGTCCCTGTCCCGTTACCCAACCCAGGCCTGCGCAGGCCAGCTGTGGGGAGGCAGAGACTGAGGGAGGGGAGAAGGAAAGAGGGATCCTGAGGGAGGGCAGAAGGGGCCGGGGTGGGGGGGGCAGGGAGGAATGAGGAGAGAGGGAGGGAACAAGGAAGGAGGAAGCAGGAGGGAGAGTCAGAGAATAGGAGAGAGGACAGAAGTCTTGAGGCTTCAGAGAACCAGTCAGTTCTGTCCCTGAGCCGCGGACCTCGGACCTTGGGGAAAACGGGCCCTGACCCTGGGATAGGGAGGATCCCGCCCCGTCTCACCGGTCCCACGCCGCCCAGCCGCCCGCCCCGAGGCCGGCCCAGCCTGCAGCCTGACGTTCGTGTTCTTGTCCCGCAGGCGGAGCTCTTGCCCGACCAAGACCCGGACCTGGACGGGACCAAGATCAGTGTGAGTGTCAGGGCCCGCGTGCTGGCGGGCACCAGGGTCGCAGAGGGTCCGGTGCTCTCCTAAGGCTCCCCAAGTCTCCTCTGCCTCCTGGGGCGGAAGGAGGGAAGGAGGGAATGGGTCTGTCTGCGAGTGAGGTGTGCAGCATAGCTCTCATGAGAGCTGGTTCAGAAAGGCGCAGTTTTCCTCTTCTCCTACTGACAGACTCCACTGTGGTGGGAAGGGCTGGGAGCCAAGATGCTGGGAAGGCTGGGTGGTTACGTCCCCCAGAAAGAGAGGCAGCCCCTGTGACACCTGCCAGGGAGGAAGAATCAAGAGCCAGGGGCCCTGAAGCCATGTCAGCTCTGAATGTCACTCACAGCCAGCTGTGAGGTCTGACGGTGGAGCACAAAATCACGAAAATGTGACCCAAAAGTAAATAGAAGTCTGAAATGCTACTAGAGGAGACTGACCTATTGAAAGTACAAAGACATAATTCTGCTGTATCGGTTATGATTTTTAGTGATTGTGTGGAAAGTGAAAAAAAAAAGTGAAAATCTGTTTTACTATACCTCAAAGAAAGCCGTGCAGATTTTTATATTATTCATACAGCTTAAATTGATCAATAGTAAACAACTTTTACTACCAGAAATAAAGCAGTCGTATAATACAAAAGAAAAAAATCTGATGACTGTGAATATATTATATTTTAGAAATCTAAAAGCCCAGTGATCAGCATTTAAAAAGAATGTTTATATCGGTGCTTTTACAATAACATAAAGTATAAGATTTGGGTTACATTGCAATTAACAGTGTAAAAATATATTATTCAAAGAATCAAAATCTGAAAATATATATTCTCAACATGGAAGCCAACTCAACAGCCAAATATAAAGCAAATTCTGATTTATAACTCATCAAACCACTGCCACTTTAGAATTTTGATTTTTCTAAATCACAGTGGCAAAGCAGGAAGCCTTGCTTTCCTGAAGGGTGTCTCTTCTTTTCACAGCCACACATACTTAGAGGCCACAGGTTGGATTTGTCATGTGCCTTTCACCCAGGCCCAGATCTTACAAAGAACAGGGACAAGAACAGCCCAGGATGCATGCAATCAGGGTCACAGCCATACATACCACTGCTAATAGTGTTCATCCACAAGACCTAGTGAACTGGAAAGAGATCTAAACACAGACAAAACATGACAGGATGTGCTTGGCTCCTGGTGTACCCTTGCTGCGACCTTGAACATATGTCCTAAATGAGCAGTTACTGGAATTTTCAAGAAAGCATTTATTTAAAATTGATAAAGCTCCAACCTTAGGGACATAGGATTATTACCTCTTCATTAAACAAGAAAAAATGTTCATAACCATTCCTCACATGACTCCAGTGTAGTGTTGAAAATTACTGGCTCGAAATGAGCCTCAGGTAACTAATGAGAAACACCGTGACCATCTCAAATTTCCTAAGGACATTTGACTCACCATCTGTTATTTCGTAGTATTACAGTGTTTATATGTAATTTTGCATGCATGCATTTGTAGTTATGGTCCAAATGTTAGGAATTATTTGTCATGCCATTACATACATCATTGTATATTTTTAAAAGATGAATACTTCTCAGGTTTCATTAATGATTACTTTGAATGAGCAATAGCCTTTGTCAGAATAAATGCCTTTCTAACTCCCCCTTCATTTCTGTCTTTCAAAATCAACCAAATCCTTAAATCCCAACTATCCTACGAAACCTATCATTCTGCCAAATGTAGAGAACACGTCCTATGCAACTGTTCTGATCTTTACATTCATATATTTAATTATAGTTTTACTGTTATGAGACATATGAACTTGCAGTTAATCTGGGATAAAAATCATGAGGATCTATTAAAAGTCTGTTTCAGTTATTAAAGTCAGATCAGTATTTACCCACAGCCCCAGCAGAGGCGTGGGGCGTCTTCATTCTGCACCACAAAGCTCCGGGTGGCACCCGTGGGTCCAAGCCTGCCAGGCCAGACTGCAGGAAGACTGAGTGTATTCTGTGAGGAAGCATCGTAACCCCCAGTCTAGACTAACTGTACCTCTAGTCGTGGTCCTAATTGGGAATCAGAGTCTATCTGCACTTAATGTGTTACGACCAACAAAACCTTTGTGTGATCTCCCAGATTTCAGGGCATTTGTTTACGGCCCACAGTGAAGGACAGAGTCTCTTTAAATTGTGGAATGGGTCACTGGCTTGCGCTTCAGCAGCTGATCGAACCAGGCAGACCTGGTCTCCTGAGGAGAAAGGGCTGGCTCTGCTGGAGGAATTGGGGACAGCAGCCCTGGCCCTGCTGCCTTGAACTGCGCTCCCCCTTGCAGCTGGGGCCCAACTCCAGTGACTGAGGCTGCAGACCTGACGCTAGGGGGCGAGCAGCCCGTCAGGCAGCTCTCTCCAGTCCTAGCAGCTGCAGGACACAGAGGGGAGCAGGTCATCTGATGCGGCGCTTTCTCTTTTCACTGCCATTTTTCAGACAGTGAAAGTCCAAGGCAATGACATCTCCCACAAGCTTCAGATTTCTAAAGTGAGGAAAAAGGATGAAGGTCTCTACGAGTGCAGGGTGACGGACGCCAACTACGGGGAGCTTCAGGAGCACAAGGCCCAGGCCTACCTGAGAGTCAACAGCAACAGCCACGCCCGGAGGGTGCAGGCATTCGAGGCCTCACCCATGTGGCTGCAGGACGCGAAGCCTCGCAAGAACGCCTCTGCCGCCCTGCCCAGCCTGGCACACAGCTCTGCCAGCCAGCGAACGCTCTCCACCTCCAGCCCACAGGCCGTGGCCAGAATCCCCAAACAAAGTCCACAATCAGGTATGGAAACCCGCCTTGAGCCATTCACTACCACCTCAAACCCTGGGCAGAGGGCAGCGGACCAGAGCAGACCGGCAGCCCTGGCCGGAGCTCAGCAGGTCCCATCTGGGGATCTTGAGGTTGCAGGGGTGCGGGGATGGCCACTGGGCTCTGCCTGGCCCTATAGAGCCAGCACCTCCTGTTTCCTTCTGCACTTACACAGCATAAGAACGATAAATCACGTCATGCTGGCTTCATTATAAACGCACGTTCACTTCTACAGATTTATGTATCGATAATGACCCAAATCAAGAGGCTTTCACTTACTCTAAATGGAAATGAAAGAGACAGTGTTGTCCACACGGGGAGCGGCCCCAGCTGTAAGCAGCACTTCCTCCCAGGCTCCTGAGTCTGCAGGAGAAGCTGATGCTGGAGGAGAGGAGAGGCAGGCACAGGAAGGAGGCACTGCCAGGCTAGGCCTGCAGAGCTGACTGCACAGGCCAGCCCACTGTGCAGGTTAGGGCTGTGCAGGGCTCTGACTCTGTGATCCTTCAGCCCCTGCAGACACTGAGGTTCAGCCTTAACCTGAGGGGCCCAGGCCCAGTCTGGCCAGCAGACCCAGGTGCCTGGCGCCAGGTCAGAGAAAGGAGAATGGTGCTCTTAGCTGTCGATCACAGAGCACTGCTCTTTATATTTTACCCTGGGAGAACTGGTGATGCTGCTGTTAGGAAGAGAAAACTGTACTTTATCTCTCACATTTAGGCTTCTTCATCTGTACCCAGATTTCAGTTCTTATCTTTTACATATGTACACATTATCTTAGAAGCTGTCTGCATCAAGTGTACACACAAAGAGAGGGGCTGAAATGGTGGTGCACACCTGTGGTCTCCGAACTCTTGGGGCTGAGGTAGAAAGATCACAAGTTCAAGCCCAGGTTGGGAAGCTTAAAGACTTACTGAGTCCCCGTGTCAAAATAAAAAACTAGAAAGGGCTGGAATGTAGCTCAGTGTGAAATCTCTGGGTTCCATCCCCGATACTAAAAATCCAAAATATATAAAATGTCCACAGGAGTAGGTGGAAATCCTTGCTTGTGAACAATACTTTTATTAAAATGTTGTGTGCCAGGGTTGGAGGGGTAGCTCAGGGATACGGCATTTGCCTGATTTTTACAAGGCCCTGGGTTCCATCCCGAGAACCACAAAGAAGCAAAGTACACAGAAACATAATGTGAAGCAACAGGTTAGCACTGAGTCCTCGTGCACCCCATACAACGGACCTGACAGGCGGAGCTGGAGCGCAGTGCACGTTCCCCACAGGGCAGACCTAGGGCCATGCCTGTTCCTGGCCAGTGCCTTCCTGCCGCCCAGCTCTGTGGCTAGGTCTTATTTTCCTCCTAGCATCTCTTGGGTTCCCACATGAAAGGACAGAACCACCCGAGCTAATAACAGTTTTACTGTACAGCAGTGTGCACACACCAGTTTTGTAGCTGTTCTGTACCGCAGGTCCAATGTCCCAGAGCTCTTGGCCCTCGCCCTTCAGTTTCTGAAGAAGCAGGCAGACGTGACTTTGTGCACAGTCACACAGCAGCCTCAGCGGGTGATTTACAGTCTAATTAGCGAGGCCCCACATCGCGGGAATGAAATTATTAGGGTACACAGACCATCCCCAGCTAGCAGCTATAAATTTGTTCTGTGGAATAAAATCAAACAGTCTCTCTTCCTCGTGAAAGATTCTAGCATTGAATGAAATGTTCTATCTGCTAAAGGAGCTCATTTATGGACCTGAATCATATACTCTAAAAAATGTCTATTTTCTTTTATTATCTCTTTCTTAGCACTGTGATTGGAGCTAAATTATAAACTCCAGATATCTTTAAACAATTTTCAAATAGAAATTATCGCTCATTTTCTATTTCCCTGCCAGTCTTACTCTTTGGTACAGAATTTTTTCCCTAGAGTTCAGTAAAAAAGGAGATGAAGAATGTTTTTACCTTATGTGTAGTGAAGGCCTTTTTCTCTATGATTTCTCTTCCTGTAGCAAAGATTCATATGAAGTATCTCAAGATATTTAATCTGTTTTTCTACCAGGGGGATCCTAGAAACTATTTTGTACTCTTTGCTCAGCCTTCTGCATGACTTCAGAAGTGAGGGCACCCAGCCTCCTGCGGCTCTTGGGTGTACACTTGGGGTTTTGCACAGCCACGGTGTATGCCACAGTACCGGGCTGGGTGCTTCTCATCTTCACTGCATCCCCACCTCTCGGTCCTAATTCCGCTTTACAGTTTCCCAGATTATGCTCACATAAAACTTAGTTCCATGCCCATACTTCATTTATTTTCACCTTCGTTTTTGTTCACCTTCCATTCCTTCAGGGAACTCACAGGCTGGATACAGGACATAAAAATGTAAGATACACTTCCTCTCCTCAGTGGTGGTAAGAAAACAGAGCAGGGCAAATCCCTTTTACAGCACATCATTTTCATTCTAGTGAAAGCAAGACATGGGAAAGACACAAAAATTTAAATCCTTAGCAAGCAAAAGGTCACCCGTCTAGCCTTTTATATTTTATCATTTGACTTGAAAAGCAGGGTTCATATATATAACATTATAATATCAACCTGTGCCACAAGACTCCTAGTTTATGCAGCCTTTCGTTCCCATCACTTTTTAATTTACTTCTTTCACTAAATTATTTAAACTAAAATACCTGGCTCCTAATTCTTGCTAGTTTTCTGTAAAGTAGGGTTTGTGTCTCTGAAAATAACTTTATGTAAAAATCTTCAAATTGTCGTATAATTAATTTAATCAGTTTCCCTATCGCAGAAATTGGCATGGAAAGAAGGTGGAAAAGATAGACTGTGACTATCTGCATAGCGCAAGATGGAGAATTAAATACCATTTAATACAGTGAGTCCTATACTTTTCCCAGACATTTTTTTCTAAAAGTGTGGCTTTCCACTCCTGCGTTAAACTGTTTTATTTTTCTTTATAAATTCTTCCATGGATGATAGGTAAATTATAAATTCTTAACCTTCTGAATTATACGAGTTCTATCTCCATGTCTAATCAACAGAACAAAATGATGAAGAAAATAGTACAGGAAGCACATAAGCCAAACTTGAACTTTGCAGTCTAAGTTTCTTGTCCCTTCCTCTTTCCAACCCTCTCTAGTTTGTGTAGCTGTTACTGGTAGTGCTCATGTTAAACCTGTGTCCCTGCCTTTTTTGCTTTTCTTATATTTACATAAACTTTAGAAAGAGAAAAGAAGCCAGTATTTCTGATGTACAGGAAAAGCAGGAGGTGGAGTTACAATTTAAAGGAGTATTCTGCAGTTGCTTTAAAGGGGAAGCATCTGCACTTTGACATCTGAATCTGGGTGCTTTGCAGGAAGGGGCTGGGACACTGGGGCAGCTGCTATAAGCCAAGGCAGAGAAGGAAGTCTGCTCAGGTCGGAAGGTGCCATCACTCCACAGGAGTGGGAAATCTTAGGGTCCCTCAGGATAAAGGGGTGCAGTTCCCTTTTCACAGAGCACTTGGAGAGGCTTCAGCTCCCTGCAGCGCTTCGTCCTTACTCAGCCCCGTCTGGTCATGTCTCCGTGCTCCTCCAGTACCCAAACCTCTCAGAAGCTAACTGTTCCTTCTAGACCATGTCCACTGATCCTTTCTTTCCAGGGCAGCGGCTCGGGAGCACCCTAAAATCAGGCTACTAAAGCTAGGAGGCAGCTTCCTGGCCCTCCTGCCCCAGGGGCTACACCTGCTCCAGGAGGGGTGCTTCTGTGCTCCTCTTTTGCCTCAGTCCCTTCAGGGTCCTCTCTTGGGTCAACTTCTGTTCAGAGGTGCTGGTGTCTCCTGAATTCCCGACTCCCACACCTTGCCAGTCTCAGGCTGCATCTGTCCCTCCCTGGTCCTCCCACTTTCCTCTCTGGTCTGCCTGGGCTGGTCCCTGACCATCACCTCTCAGCACTTTCCTTCTCCTTTGCTACTTATCCCTACTCACTTCCTTTTTCAGTGCCTTTATCTCCTTCTCAGCTTCCTGATCTTATCCATTCCCTTGGTTTTGAATATAACTTTTCCTTAGAAAATCTTCCCATTTCCATTTCCACTTCTAACTTCTTTCGGAGATCTACATGAGGGTTAACTCTGGTCCCCAAAACATCCTCACAGATGTGTCTCATAAGCCCAGGAGCAGATTAAAGATGGCGGCAGAGCTGTGGACAACTCACCCATCAAGAGCTGAAGGCTGTTGTCATTGGCTGCAGCTCAGGCTGGCCTGTGACTACTGTCAGCAATGAAGTATGAAGAAGTGATACTCTCGCAGTGCAGACTGGGCCTCGAAGGGGTGGTAGTGTCGGCCATGACCTCTCGGAAGGCCAACATATGGGAAGTCAGCTCCCTGGAGGCTTTGCTGGGGGAGGACCCCAGCAGGGCGCCACCCTGGGAGTGAGGGATCACCGTGGACAGAGTGTCCCAGCCTTCCTCTGACCTCACCCCCAGCTGCTGGTGCATTGCAGGCCACACCCCAGGAGCCCGCAGCACAGGGAGTGATAATAGCGAGTTGGCATCTCAAGGCAGTTAGAAATTAGGATGCCTTTTTTTCACAGCAACAGACACACAGATCAGGCACTTAAAACTCAAATATTCAGAATTGAATTTATTCTGGATTTCTCACCAAAAAAAAATGTTCTTCTTCCCATGTCCCCACGCTCTTAATAACATCAAACTAATCACAGGTCTTGCAGAAACCTTGAAAATGTTCTTGTCTCTTCCTCTGATGCCACGTTGAATTAGTCATTTGGTCCTAGTGATTCTCTTCCCAAAACATGTTTGAAAAGTGCAAATTTTTTCTATCCCTCCAACACTAGTTTCATTCTCAGCATAAGCCCTCTTTGACTTTTCAGAACTTCCAACCGATCCTAATAGTTTCTGTGTTTCTGTTTCAGAACAAGAAACATAACATGCAAGCCCATATGTTCGATAATTACTATTCCCAGAGCTAGACTGCCAGCTTCTACTAGTCTGACT